TATATATATATATATATATATATATATATATATATATATATATATATATATATATATATATCATAAGGTGTTTCCTGTTTTTCAATTCTTGATTTGTGATTCATCTTCAATAAAATATAATTTGGCACCAATGTTGGGATTTGGTTTAGTTTTTTTGTAACACATTGTAGAAAAAATAAAAGATAATAAAAAAGATATACAGGGCTTTTTTTAACTTAATACATAGTTAAAACGATTATTTATTCATATTGTAGAAAATACAATGATACTAAGAGTCTTGAGTGAGAGGTAAGACTAACAAACCAACCAAAGCTAAATGAGCCATAAATGTCGAACTATGAGTGACTACAATAGTAAATCAATATATTCCAAGATAATAACATCATTGAAAGTATGTCAAAATAAAACTTTCTACAAACCTAAACATATCTTTCTTGAAGATAATAAAGATAATGATGTTTATCACCAAAATTAAGAAGCTTTAAAGTTCAAGTTTGAAGTGAAATAGTACTGCATGGACTTGTTACAATTTGCAGTTAATGTATCTTCAACCCTGCCCAAAAATAAGAAGCAAACTTATTCACCCCAAAAGTGAAACACAAATCCAAAACCCTGATTTATTGCTAATACATCCTAGAAGATCTTTTTCACTTATTTAAAACAAATATGATAAGAATTTCTCTAACTTATGGTTTAGCCTTTAGGACACTGAAGAAACAATATGTGGATTCTCCACAATTCAAAACTCAAAGCAGTTAACTGTTATTTGAAGTTCGAAACTAATCCGATAGAAACCATAGACTCTAATTTAATACATGGACTCATACCTACCATATACAACTTCAATTTCTCGTCTGGTTTGACTAATTAACAAGGGGAGAATGGAAAAAAAAAGGGAAAAATCAATGTCCAGAGAGATTGCGTAACTTAGGTTGCTGATTACCTTTGTCTGAGAAGAGCCAGAGGATCATAGCACAGATTACCAACAGAAGAGGGATGAGATGGATGGCTACCTCAGCAGATCTAATTTGATTGTGTTTTTTGGTAGCTATATAAGATCGAGGATTGTATGTGGGTAATACCTCACCGGTCTCGTCGGTACCCGGTCTGTAGTTCTCCGTCAATGGCAATCGATGATGGGAAAAATCGCCGGAGACTCTTGTGGAGCTCGACGACCGGTGCATTCGATCGACAGAGAGAGAGAGAGAGAGAGAGAGATGGTATTCGGTGATTTGCAGGCTTTGATTTACGCGGTTTACTGTCATATGAAAAAATCTGTTATAAACCGTTTACGCGGTTTGACGATAAAAAAATTTATATTTAATAATACAATAGCTCAAAAAAAATATATATGATAATAATTCATGTATATGCGTAAGACTATTATTTTTATGTATAAATAATATCCGGTTACAAAAATTAAATAATGGAGTATTATTTAAATCGTAATTATCCACCATATACAAATAATAACAATATAAATACAAATAATTTGTCCTAAAAACAAATTAATAGAAATAACAAAATTGTAAAAAAGGGTTTAAGTGACTTTTTAAAAACTTATTTCTTATCGGCTATCGTTTTTTAGGAGGTGTGAGCATTGAGATGGACTTTTCTTCCAATTAGGTTCCATCCATGTTTCTTAGGGAAAATGACTTAGGGAAAATGACTTATATGGTAATATGTTTCAAAATTGTTCGAAAAATATCATTCAAGTTTGATGTGTCCAAAAAACATCATCCAAGTAAAACATTTGTACAAAAAACACCAACGAAGTACATTCTTTGTTCAAATTTGACCTTGTGGTAACCGGCAATTACCAGTAAAAAATAAGTAAAGGAAAAAAACAATAGGAAATGACTCAAATGGGTAACTATGTTTCAAAATCGTTCAAAAAACAACATCCAAGTTTGGTATGTTCAAAAAACGTCACCCAAGTAAACTTTTTGTATAAAAAACACCAACAGACTATATGTTTTGTTCAAATATTACCCATCGGTAACTGGCTCTTACAAGTTAAATGATGACTTCGCTTAACTATTATGACATGACATAATAATTATTGACAAAAAAATAAATGATATATTCATCCTTTAAAAATCGATTTAGGGTTTCTTCATGAACGAATGACTTCTTCTACTCCTATGATTGCTCTTCTTCTTCTAAAGTGATAATCTCGAACTCAAGTCAAAAACCCTAATTCTTGACTTAAGGCAAAAAGGGCTCTTTTACCCCTGCCTCAATGGGCCTCCCTCCCCCTAAGGCCCAAATCCATAAAAAGCCCAAAAAGGCATCCAAGACCAACTACAATGCCTCTAAGGCCCAATATGGCCTAAGAACCCCCAACATGGCCTTAAGCCCAAAAAATGACCTGCTACAATCAGGTGGGCCCGAGGTCAAACTTAAACAAGTCCATGCATACGCCCAACATATGTTGAAGCCTCTGCGATCCGTATGTCGAGCCAGTACGCCCGGCGTACTCCTAGCGTACGCCTAGCATACTTAGCTAGGGTCAAGAACCGCCAATCTTCCGAAGGCCATAACTTCTTCATTTTAAGTTCGATTTCGTCATTCTTTATATCCACGGGAAGGAAACGAGAAGCTCTATACTTTTATCAACTCTCCCTTGCCTTAAAACTTTTCTAACATAAACCCAAACTTCATAAAGGATCGAACTGATACTTACTGATATACCCTTGGGCTCCAACACATACCGAACACTCGGTCCCACAACCTACATTATCCATCACCGAATGGGCGTTACAGACACCACGACTTGTTATGAACGAATATAAATGTGAATACATCGTACACAAGTATCGAAACCATACCCCAGGAAACATGCAAAAGAAATGGTCTGAAACAATAAAATAACAAGGAAAGCACAAGAGACGTGCTTGTCTGTAGACCGGATAATAAATGAAGGACCGGTCAAGACTATAAACTTTTCTAACAACGAGCAACCTATAAATACCTCAAATACATGATATCCGAGGTAGAGTAAGGTAAGGCAAAAAGGAGATAACATACATAGCATTAAGGTAACACTAAGAATCACAATCTAATTTAGGCATCAGAGAGCTATGTCGAGGTCCAACCCTCGGTATGACTGTCTGACCCAGCACTTGTTTATCTTATGCAGAGCAATTCCCGGATGCTTATTGGATTGAGACCTTTAGGTGAGAGAGCTAAACATGTGCTTGGAGTTCGTCGTAACAACATCTTCCTTTAACCTACAAGAGCTAGTTACCAAAGGGTAACCTTTGAAAAAAATGTATAGTTTGTTGGTGTTTTTTGTACAAAGACCTTCCTTGGATGGTGTTTTTTTGAATAGACCAAACTTCTATGGTGTTTTTTGAACGATTTTGAAACATAGTTACCCCTTTGACTCATTTCCTATTGTTTTTTTTCCTTTACTTATTTTTTACCGGTAATTGCCGGTTACCACAAGGTCAAATTTGAACAAAGAATGTACTTCGTTGATGTTTTTTGTACAAATGGTTTACTTGGATGGTGTTTTTTGGACACACCAAACTTGAATGATATTTTTTAAACGATTTTGAAACATAGTTACCCATATAAGTCATTTTCCCTGTTTCTTAATGAGTCATGTATTTTGGGCAATTATCTTAATAAATTAATTTTAAATGTTATATTTTGTCACACCCCCAAACCAAGGATGGCGGAAACGTCCGGGGGTGGATGACTTCATGTATAGTATCATA